GCATGCGCTCCGCCTCCCCTCTGGTCCGGCCGTGCCGCGCGCGCCCCCACCAGGGCCCTGGTGGCGCGGCTGCTCCTTGCTCTCGCCCGGAGTGGCTGCCGTTTCCCGGTGGGCGAGAAAGCTCCCCGGTTTTCCGGAGTTCTGAGCTTCTGGAGGAAACACCAGTAACGGGTGACGTTCTAAACAGCCTGGCAGAAATTGCTAACTTGACTCCTGTAGGGTTTTGGGTTTCCCATATTCACGGTCTTGAGATCCAGGCCTCGAAGTGTGAATGCGGCCCAACCCCGGGATACGGATCCTTGGGCCCAAACTGGGGAGAGCTAAAGCAACAACACAGAAAGGGGCATTAATTAATGTTTGCAAATGGCTTGACAAATTGATATTAACTAATTGTACAGATGTCTTTGCAGATTTTTCCTGATCAGCATTTCTTCTCCCCATATGTTCATTTTTGGATAAACCTTTAAGTATCTACTCTGTCAGGCCCAAAAGATGATTGACACAAGGCCCCAGCCGTCAAGGAACTGCTAGCTGGTAATGAAGATGTCAGTTATGTGGTGTACAAGATATATATACACATAAAATACATACATATTTAATATGTAAGAATTAAAACTATGCAATATTCTTACATTTTGCTTGTTTCTGTAAGCTGTTAGTCGGTGGGTGGATATTTTACAATAATCTCCCTAAACGAAGACTTAATCTCTGGATTAGCTCCACAGCACACATAATTCTCATACTGAAAAATGAGGAAGAGAGAAATTTTAAATACCTAAGCTTGGGGAAGACATACTTTTGGATAGGGGCAGTGGTCTATGGAAAATGATACCAGTAGTGTGAACGACCTACCCTGCCCTCATAGGAGGCAGTGAATCAGCAGTGTCTTGTGGAGCCATAGGAAGCCTGAGGCAACAGAAGTCAGTAAAACATGATGTATTTAAAAAATTGGTATTTTGCAGAGGGGAGGTATAGCTCAGTGTTAAAGAGTTCCTGCTTAGCATGCACTAGGTCCTGGGTTCAATCCCCAGTACCTCCACCCAAAATAAACAAACCTAATTACCTCCCCCGCAAAAAATGAAATAAAAAAATAAAAATTTGATATTCTGCTTGTTGGGGGGGCACTGATTCTGATTTCTAGATGTTGGACAAAAATAGTATTTTTCATTACTGAGGTTTTTAGTCAAAAAATTTGTGACCGCATTGAGTGCCTCACTCACCCCACCCTAGTCCTGGCCATGTTTATCACAGTGCTGGCAGCCCCAGCTTTTCCCACGCTCCCAGCCAATAACTCAGCATGGTGGGAGTTCAAGAGCTAGGCCAGGCCATTCTTGTCCTATATGGGCTCCTACAGGCAAGCTCTATAGGGAACTAAATCCCCAACTAACTTTCTTAGAACTGTACTGCCCACCCTACCCAATCCTTCCTTCAATTTCTTTCACAGATGTCAGACTTGCAACGTGGTAGGAAGATTTCCCCACCTTCTCCTGCTCCCTTTCCCTTTATTCTTCATAGATGTCCACCACCCTCCAGTAAGTCTCTTGCACATTTAAGCACATCTTGGCATCTGCTTCTGGGAAGACCCAAAAGGACACACTAAAAACTGAAAGGAAAACATGTAATACATATTTAAAATTTTCTCTTATCAGGTTCTAAGTTGAATGTGCCAGGTAAAGATATACAATGTTTTAAAAACAAACTACAAAGCCTTTGGATTTTATATATGAAGTTTTAATAAGTGAAAATTTATTCAGATCATTTTATTTGAACTCACATCCAAGAGACATTCAACTTCAAGGATTAGAAATAGAAATGGAAACACTCCTTTTTGGGTAAAGGGTGGATCATACAAGTGGGACTGGTAAGAGTACTAATAGCTTTATGAAGTTACTACTTAAAACTCTGTATATTCAAGTATATATCAAGTTCATACTTGGTTTATACAGAATTTATCCAATTCTAGCAAAGTCGGCATAATTTAAGTAAATGTCCTTGAGTTTTACACTCTCAAGTCTGAAAGCTTAGATTTGATTATAACCACAGCAAAAGTGATTATCTTTACTTCCTGCAAATGTAATCAACTTTTAAAATAACTTAGGCAAACATCAATTTTACACAAACCTTATTAAGGGTAAGAGAAAATTGCAACTGTCCATCTAATTGCAGAGTCTAAACCATAAATTCAAGCTGTACCGTTATCTTTATTGTCAAATCAAGTCAAGAAAGCCTATTACAGAGTAAAAGAAGTGAATGTGAATCTGCAGGATTCACTAAGGGGATACTTTGAAAACCTATCATCACATTAGTATTGTACAGAAATTATTTTCAAGTATGCTCCAAGGGTTACCTCTAAATTGAAGAATTAACCTTCGGGAAGTCAAGTGACAAATAGTATTATCTATATTTTATGTGCTAGGAAATAAAAGCAAAGAAAGATTTAGGATTGAGTAATCTATTCAAAATTAAAAAGTAAATCAAAAAGACTGGCTTAAATATGAAAACAAATGTATGTATGTATATGCATGACTAGGACATTGTGCTGTACAGCAGAGATGGACACGCTGTAATTGACTACTTCACTTAAAAAAAAAAAGACTGGCTTTATTTGAAACAGGATTCATGTGCCTTAAGTCCCTTTCCACTGGGTTTATATATCCATTAGTCTACATTTCTACTTAGAAGCCAAACCATTTCCAAAATTTCTATTTTGTGTCCATTTCTTAATGTATTAGGATAGTATAGACAGACTTGTCGTGTTGCTCATTTCTAATAGGCCATTGAAAAAGAAAAATCCCTTGTGCTTTCTGCTCTTTAGAAATAAAAATGAATATAAAATTATGTTAAAACTAAGTTTTTTTCCAAAGTAGAAACAATAAGCTGCTTGACTTAAAATCCTTTATTCATTTGGGCATTAAATTACCTAACACACAATCTATTTTACATCGAAAGTTTCCCTTGTGTTGTCTCCAGGAATGTTACATAACTAAATCTTCTTCCTGTGAAATTTGCTCTACTAAAATCAATATATAACCTATTTGACTCTGGTTATAGCTAAAAGTGACAAAAAAGATTTTTAACAAAAACTATAAATGTGTTTTATAAGAGTTAGGTCTCAAGGTTTTTGTTTCATAGGAAGGAAGCTCTCTATTACATGGATCTATAAAATGATCCAAACTTCAGAGACAGGAAGCTGATAACTTGATTTATCTTCTTAATGGCTTTGGCTCATGAATAAGTGATAATGGTTTGTGTTTTTCTTATAAAAAGAAATGGAATTTGTATAATGATGAGTCCTATTTGCCACATTCGCTTTTTTTTTAAAAGGATTTCTAATTACTTAGACATTCTTTATATTATTTATAATAAGACATCAAAACTTTAACTGAAAGCCATTTTTTGACCACAGTTTGCCATTAGCTGAAATTCAGGAAAGAACACAGGTCTGATCACCAAATCAATAAATCTAGCCGCAGGCTGACTAAAAGCTTCCTTTAATCTTCTTCCTATTAGGTCTTCCTTTAAATTAAACCATCCCCTCTATGAATTATTTAAGTGAATGGCATGGTTATAGAAAGATCAGATATAATTCATAAATCATAAAAACGCTCAAAGAACCTAAAAAACTCAGCCTGTTTCAGGAATTCTAGGATGAAGCAAGATGATGTATCTTTAAAAAAAGGGGGAGCAAGGGGGGTACTCCTGAAAGCTTCATAGAGAAATACAAAAGTCAAGTTTATTTCCTGGTTAGTGCAGGATGATTCCCAAAGCGCATTTAAGTGTCTGGTCCAGACTAGCTATTAGCGATTAAGTAGTTCCCTTTCACTGTCAAGGCTTTTCCCTGAGGTAATGCCTAAGTTCTTAATTTTAATATTTTATCTTGTTTCTTTTAACCCCATTCTCTCTCACCAATAAACTCTACACATTTCCACCATGCTGCACGCTTTCTTAACTCTGAAATTTACACTTTTCAAACGCACAATGTCCAACTTAAGAGTTACAAAATTTATATTTAGGTATATTTATCTTTCCACATTGTTCCTCTCAAAACTTATACTCATTTTGCTTACACATAATTCCAATAATTACATTTTTACATTTTTTAATGAGTTAAGCTTCTACATACTGAATGTTCTTCCAAACGTATCCTCAAAAATCACTGAGAAAGGATTTAACCTTTCTAAATTCCAATCCCTTCATGCTTTAAAAAATTAACTAACTTATTATTACTCTTCTTTTTCCTTCATGGTAAACAATTCCCTTCTCAAATCTTATAAGTCTACTTTCCAGATTTCTTTTCAATGTTACAAATAGCAAAGGAAAAATACAAACTGTTTCAGAGTAAATCAGTCTCTTCCCTGCTTTCATTTATTAGATCATTTACTTCAAGGCTGTATAAATGGCAGTATTTTGAAAATGTTAACACCTATCAATACCTTGAAGTTGAAAACATTAGAAAGCCAGAGAAAATATATCACAAGCAACCAGTTTGAATATCATGAAAAGCTACTTAGATCTTGATTTTTATATAAATACTAATTTTTACCATTATAAAAGACAACATAATTTTATTTCATTTTTCTTTATAAAATTACCATTTAACAGAATATTTGGTAGCTAGTCATCCTTTGTTTTTCTGTACTGATAAAAAGTTATTTTTAAAAGAAAAACATTTAAAACAATATTGTTTCATAGAAACAGAAAGTCTCAATATCAAATTCTGATAAAAAACTATAATCATGGGTAGAGTCTTACCATACTATTAATTTTCTTTCACTAAAGATGGATATTTAGGAAGTGTTATACTGGCAAATAAGATAAGCTTCTCAGTGATCTACAAAAGTGCCACAATAAAGATGAGGTAGTATGAGACTTCCCCACTTTTGTAAAAGGGAAATACCATCTTTAGAAGAGGTATTTATTCTGACACTGGTGTTGATATCCTGAGCCTCATCCGTGCTAAGAGAGGTGCCATTTTAGTAGCCAGCCCTCACTAGAACCAAGACAATCTCGAGATCACTGAGAAAAAAGAAATGCTAGAGGATAATGGTAGTAGATTGTTTAATATTGTGATAACTGCTGAAAATTTATTTAAGCAATTATTTTAAAATGCCACCTTTATGTTAACAGCAGAACTGGAAAGGGAAATGCTACTTCACCATAAAAGCAATGATACTGAAGAAACACCTAACTTGGAAATTTGAGTAAAATTTGTTTCAATCCAAGTAGATGCTGCTTTCTACCAGAGCTAAGCTAGCATCAAGAAATCGATTACTGTGATACTAAAAATGCTAATTTGTACAGAGGGGTTGACAACTCACCAGAAGAAACAACTGTCTAGATCTTAGTATTCATTGATTCTTTCAAAAAGAGTTGGATAGGCGATCACTCCATCTATTTTACTACGTTGGGATCATGATGTTTCTAAAAATGCTTCCCTGTTCTTGAGATAGTAAATTTAAAATATTATGCCTGGTGCCCAGTATTGTTCAGTATGGCATAAGCCCTGTAACTCTCAAAATGTTTTCTGTTTTTTTAAGCCATAATAGATTTATTAATTCTGAAAATAGGAATAATTATTTGAAACCTGAAGATTAAAACAATATTAAGCCCCCTGAATACTGAGCTCCATGTTTACTTCTTGAATTTTTATTCAAGCTCAATTTAAAATAATGAAAAACTACTTAGATCTCTTCGGTTACCAATGGAAATTTGTGCCTGTTTATAAGCTGTGGCATTTCTCCAAAGTAAAAAGCTCAGAGTTTCTATAAAAGGGCTATGCAGAAGCAAAGTTCGTAAGTAAATACAGAAAAACCCCAGTTGCTTTCTTACTTTAGTAACTACTAGTTATTAATAGTATTATCATTATTTTTAAAGCTTCCAGTGAGAAAGGAATAATACTTAGGTTCTGAAGATGGCAACTCTTCCAGGTTGAGAGAAAGATCTATTCAAAGAATAACAAATGACCATGCCACATTATAGAAGAATAAATTCACCTCCGAAATATGTCCTCAGTTGATTCTTACTGAGGAGATTAATCAAATTTAGTAATCTTATTTTACTTAAAGTGAAAACACATTAAGTTTGATTTAAGTCATTTTGTTAACCTTTAACATCCCTATTAGTAAATTATAAAAAACCCATCAATTACATTAGTGTGGATTGTAAATTACAATACACTCAGCTTTACTGAAGAATTTTAAAACAACTCTAAAAAGGGATGGGGAAACTATTTTATGTGTAGGAGTGTCAATGGCATAGGTTAACAAAGCATTTTGTATGTAGAAAAGGACAAAGGATTATTTTTAAAGAAAAGTATGAAATACAGATTATTTGTGTTTGCAATGCCTACCAAATTTCAAATATCCCTGAATCATATGCAAATTAGTTAAGAAAAGGAAAAAATTAAGTATACAATCTACATGATAAAATCAAAAACCAAACACCTGGGCAAAAGTATCCATTAACCCCTAGTGTGTAACCTTAAACATTACTGTATCCTAAGAAAAATAAACTGATCTGAAAGTAAAATTTAGGGCAGAGGTTTATTTTACACTTCAACTGCCCTTGTAGAAAAATTCAAAGTGGCATAATAAGAAAAATAAAATATTAAATGAAAATATGCATACAATCATTCTCATGTTCCAACCCTTTTCCTAGCATTGTTGTTCTGGTGCATCAATCCTGAGTACTCTAACTTTTGATTTATAGTGATATTCTTTCAGATACAATTTCATGGAAGAAGGAATTGGAAGGGCATCAATGCCATCATAAGTTGTACAGTTACAAATAACCGTTCTGCATATATGCTGCAGGGAAAAGGGGAAAGTCCGAATTAAAGGAGTGGATAAAAGTGGTTCGAAGAACATACAGGCACTCGGGTCCTTATAATGTTCTAGGAGTCCAGTAATGTCAGGAGAATGGAAGACACAAGGATCATGTGCATCAAAGCTAAAGTTGTGATTCCACTGTTCAATTCTAGCATGAAGAGAACGACTATAGCGTCTAAAACTAACAGAGAATAAATAGTCTTCCTGTGCTGAGTCTCGAAGTAAAAAGGTGCCCTCTGGTTTTCCTTCTAGTAGAGCTTCAGCTGCATATTTATCCATAACGCCCCAGTAACATGGATTGTTATTGATCTGAAGGAGGTCTGGTACAAGACAGTGGACATAATCAATCTGGGTATGGTACTTAGGAGGTGTTTCCAGCTGCAGGATTTCTTCATCAATTTCCCATTTGGGTTTGTTTCTTTTCCTGGAACTTGTGCAAAGTGTTATAATTTCATCATCTGAATCCATATCACTATCTTCTACACTGTTACTTGAAGCCAGGTTCATCATAGAGTCAGCCCTAGGACCACCTCTACCTGAAGCATTGTTAGTGGTTATGACACAGGGCTGAACATTGGTATGTGAGAAACAGTTGACCTCTTCTTCCATGTTTCTCCGTTGTTTCAGCTGGCCATCCGTCAATTCACTCTGAGACAGGTCTGTGCTTACCCATTCATCTGATTTGGGACTTATAGGAGCAGTGTGTCGTTTAATAAAATGCCACCTAAAGGCTAAATCTGATCGAGGTGGGAAAGGACACTTATCTAACATGAGTTCACTGATATGAATTTTTCTTTTAGACGGAAGCCCTGAAGAATGCCGACTACTGCAATTCTTTATTGGAAAACACTGCCCCACGGCATCTTGCAGTTTCTGTTTAAGAGATCGGCCTAAAAATCTATGCCCACAGGAGTGATCTAAGTCCAACTCGATAGATGAACAGCTGTGCTTCCTTTCTTGGCTCCTTAAAGGAACTTCAGTTTTCTCTACAGCATTCACTGTTTCAGCATCTGAACAACTTTCACTCTTTTTCGACCAAGATAACTTCTTTCCACTCCACACATAACCATCCTTTCTATCTGCGCTTCGACTCCGACTAGTTTTGGGCCTTACATCTACATTCTTACTACTTTCACTATTTTCTGCCATTTTAACAAATTATCCACAAATTCCACTGTTATAAATACTGCTTTTTCAGTTTTTCCGGCAGGAAGTCTCTTCTGGGCACTTTCTGGATGTATCTAAGGAAAAAAATTAATCATTTGTCATTAACATTGTATAGTTTATATATTAAGCATCAATTAGATATAAGATGAAAATATGAAAAAGGATAATTAGTAAATTAAAAGAAGTACTAGAAATGTTGGAAGGCAGTTCCAAGATCTTTTGTTACCATTTTAATAAACTGTGTTACCATATACTAATAATTTCATAGTGCCATGGAGTTAAGAATCCCGAGTTCCCTTCCCACAGCTAATTTTCAAGAGCCCAGCCTCCTCTCTGAGCCAAAATGTATGTCTGAAATGTGAAAAATTTCTGGTTTTGAGGTACATCTTGCCAATCTCTCCTCCTATTACTTTTTAAATTTCATAGCAGACCAGGGAATTATTTGTAAGATAGTGAGAAACTGGTGAGCTGGTGTTTGAGGACCATTACCCTGTATAGTTTCTTCACTTCTCTTCTTGTTCTCTTTCCTATTGATTGAAAATATGAAGTTTTAAATTATAAAAGCTGTTAAGAATTTATTAAATAAATAATCACCACTGAACAGCAGAAATGTCGTGCAGAATTCCCAATGCTATTTTGTCAATTTGTTTTAAAAACTGGTCAACTTCAATATTGGTCTAGGCAGTTTTTACAAAATTCGGAATTAGATAAAAATTTAGTACTACACACACTTCCTTGTATTCTTCTTGATAATTATGAAAAACAAGCAGATAAAATTGCCCTATAGGGCAATGCCTTTCCTATAAAATTGGCTGGATATATTAGAATTATAATGCAAAATACTGAGTTTTATTAAGACTAATAGTAATGATTGGTCAAAGATGGAAACTACTTACCTATTCTTAGGTGGAATAAGATTTAAGCCCAGAATTGGGGGGATGGATTCAATAATCTCTATTTCACAAGTGAAAATTGAATTTCGTGACTGAGAAAATCAGTTGCACTCAACATTCTAACAATGATTAAGCTTCTTATTATGTCAGAGGAGCATTAACAATCTGAACAGCCAAATAAATGTTTAGATCCAATTTCAAAGCAGTAGGGTTTGAAACAAGTATCTGCAGTGGAAAACATGATTGGGAAGTACTTTAAAGTGTGAATTAATGATAAAGGCTTGCCACATAAGTACCCCTTTTCTAAACACTGAATAGCACCTGGCGATTATACTTATTTTGATTTAGTCAGCTCACTGGTACATAATCATTTAAAATCCACACAGAAAAATATTTTTAAATCTAATTTGTAAGAAACATCATCACTTAGTACACCAAAATTATATTCAATAGTATGTTTTGGCTGTTTGTTGAGTAAATTCCACTGAACAAAAATAAACAGGTAGAAGCTACAAAGTAGGCTGAAGAATGAGAGTTACCAATTAGAAGAGATACTAGTTACTAAGAGCTTACACTTAGATTTTTCAAGATATAAATTAAAAATGAGCCCCAAGCAGATTTTTTTTATTAACACTATATAATTTCAACTTTTTAATTCAGCATGGTAATGTGAAAAGTATATCATCTAAGGATCGAGATGCTTGGTAATTTACTTACTTTACAAATATCAAAATAGCAGTTGACTAACTCTGTGATCAACTTTACTTTATGGGTATGAGCTCCCTCATCTTCCTTCATTTCGATATCAGAGCTAAGCTCCCTACCTCTGCTCTTGATGACATTGCACCTTTACCAGGGCCTGCTTCTATTTCTCTCTCTTAACTTCTCTCTACTTTCAAAAACAACTGAATCTCCTATAAACTTTTAGTGATTCTAATGCTTCCTTTAGTTATAACTGCTGCCTTCCATATTAAATTTCTTAATGAGTAGTATAACTTGATTTCCCCTCAAAATGAAAAAAAAATTTTTTTTGAGTATAAAAGAAAGAACGATCTGGTTTTAAAATGGTTAAGTGAAAACCTTTTGGCTCCATCCTCCTCTCAGACGTCAGTTCTCTCAGAAGGGAAAATGAGAAATAAAAATACAAACCTCATCTTCAGTGAAACTAGCAGATTATCTATAACATGAGTCACAAACTACAAGGACAGAAAATGAACAGAGTAGCAACGACTGACTCAGCAGTGGAGAGGTGGGTGACACCAGGCACAGAGGCAACATGGATGAGAAGCAAGCCAACAGAGCAGGCAAAGTCCAGGACCCAGAGGAACCAGGTGCTATAGAAAATATGGATGGAGAACAGGGCAGAAAATGGGAGGCAGTTTGAAAATTTGTTTAAATGCAGTTGGACCTCTCTGGTTACTTCTACACTTAGAAGAGATGGGATATTTATTATTTGGAGAAACTGAACCAGAGAGGCTCACGACTTTGGATGCCAGACACAGTGAGGATAGGGGGCAGGCTTTGGGACTAAAATCAGAAGGAAAGTTCCCTGCTCCCGTCTTCCCTCTAGCTTCCAGAACTCCCGCAGCCAGACTTATACCTCCTAATAGGATACTGGAAGGTGCTCTTTTGGAGAAATAGAACAGCCAGAGAGAGAAGATCTACGGATGCTGATAACTAGATATCCTTCAATAAAAAGCTGGAGGGCTACCCAAGCATGCTGTAAAGCTCATCCATCCACAAGCCCTGCCTGCTCACATACAGCTTTTAGGCAGCACTGTTATGCTTCATTCACTCTAGAATATGACAGGTCACCAGACTTTGGAGGAAAGCCTCTAGCATAAACAACAGTGACTAAAACATAAAGAACTTGGAGAAAACAGTAACCATGAAAGCAACAGGAAATAAAATAGATTTCTTCCAAGTCAAGAGAAGATATACCAATGAATGAGTAAGACAAGGTTGGGACAATCAGAGAATAAGAAAATTTTGGAAATTAAAATCATGATTGCAGAAATAAAGTATTTAATAAGAAAGTTAGAGGATAAGTTGAGGAAATAATAAAAAAGAGGAAAAAATGGTTAACTAGAAAGAGAAGATAAGAAAATTAGAGTATCAATACAGACATTTCACAGAAAATAACAACAAAATAAAGGGGAGAAATTATAAAAGAAAGTGTATTAGAAAATTTCCCAGAACTGAAGGATAAGAGCCTCCATATAAAAGGAACACAATGAGTGCCCAGCATGAGGGAAAATACACACCAAGTTACGTTATTCTAAAACTTTAGAACCCTAGAGATAAAAAGGAGATACCAAAGTCTTCCTGTCTTATAGGCAATGACACTGCATTGCATGCCTATAAATTTGTTAAGAGGGTGGATTTCATGTTAAGTGCTCTTACAATCAATGTATATGACCAAGCTGAGAAAGAGAGAGAAAGTAAGAAAGAAAGACTTCCTGAGGGAAAAAAGTCACAAAGGATTATATATAAAATACCATCTGTTTTCTCAAGAGTAAGTAACATTGGAAGCTAGAGGACAGCTTCCAACCTTGAAGAGATACCCAGCCAAACTACCAATGAAATAGGATAAAATAAAGAAATTTTCCGAAGTGCAAAGTATCAACAATTTTACCTCATACAGGAGGATGTGCTCTTCAAAAATTATGGTGTAAACCCAAAACAAGGGACATGACATAGGAAACACGATATTTAACATAAGAGAGGAAATGTGAGTCCCTGGGATAATTAAGAAAGGATACCTCCAGAAAACAGGGTATCTGGAGCTGCTGGAGAGCAACCAGTCCATACAACCACACAAGGACATAAGGCTCTTTGTGTAATAAGAGAATGGAAAGAGAGGAGGGAGACTAAAAAATAGGTAAATCCTCATCTATCATAACAGGAACACAACCATTTCTACTGATGCACCAAGAAAAAGAAGTATAAGCAAATGATTTAGAAATATGAAGGTAAATATCGGAAAAAAGTTTAAAAATTTGGAAGTAGATGCCTTTGGAATGGGTAGGAAAGGACTGCACGATTTCTTAGCTCATCTAAGTTTTTCAGCTTAATTTAATTTTAACCTAGGTATGTATATCATTTTAATAGACATATATAAAAATAGTACTTCATATTCACCATGAAAAATTCAAACTTAAAAGCTATGAAGAAAAAAGTAAAACTCTTCCACAATCCTACCACCTGGAAGTAACTATTTAAACATTTTCAATATCTCTATACATGTATATGACAAGGATGGAATTCCACAGCACAATGATGGCAGGCATTAGAAATACAGTTTGAGTCCAGTTTATTTTGTACTAGCCACATGACCCTGAAACCTCAGTTTCTTCATCCGTAAAATGGAGATACTGATGCTATCTATTTTATTGGGCTGTTGGGTATTAAATGAAATAATATATGTAAAATAAGCAGCTCAGATCCTAAATATAGCAAGTATACAATAAATGTTAACATATTTTTTCATTTCTGAAAAAGGAACAGATATTACATGTTGTTTTATTAAAGTACCTAAGCCAATTTTATAGAGTTCATAATTAAAGAAATCACAGAAATACCTGTCTCTAGCTCAATGCTAACTACAAAATTTATGAGCAAATATAATTTTCAGGATGATAACTAATGTTTCAAAGTAAAAAGGATCAATATGCCAAGTATAGCCAAAACTCAACAGACCATGAAGCTATAAAACAATTTGACATTTTCCCCCAGAGAACTAATTTCCAGCCTTACGCTATACAAGTTTACATGCTAATATAACAGGTTTATATTTGGCAAGGCTTGCCAACTTGTATATAATAGGTACTAATCAATCAAGTATCTGTGGATTTTAGGTTAACCGGTTTTATATGTGCTAATGCTATAAGTGTCCATAAAATAAAAAATACCATTGCCTTAGATGACTTTTCCATACATTTACCTACACTTAAAAAGTTAGTAAATAGAGTATCTTCTTCTGACAATTTTTTAAAATCTAAGACTAATAACCTTATATAAATTTCACATAGCTATTCTTTTGCTAGAAAACTGAGTTTATGCTTCCACTTTTATAAACTGTTATGGCAAAAATATATTTGGTAAAATATATCATATCAATATACGGACCAAAATGTCACTTAATGCTGCAATCTTCAAAGTAGGAAGAAAATTTAACTTCT